TAAATCTAAGTTGATCTCCTCCTTGAAATTCCTAAAGGGCCAAATCCTTTTGCTAAGACTTTCATGGATTTTAAAACAACAAAGATCAAACTTTAGCCAACATTTAAATGACTTCAAAAGAAAGCAAAACCACTAGTTTAATCAAAAGTTTTCCCAAATCAAACTTGGGATGTAATTAACCATAGGGGTTTGCCCCTATGGGACGTCTGTACCCCAGAAATAAATAAACCCCACTCGACCAAACATCGAGTGGGGGAATCTCTGTTAAATAATTGTAAATTTTATAGTTGAGTCCATAAGGAAATGATATTTTTATCCTTCGGGGTAATATATCATCATTCTTATGCCGTACTCGATTATAAGATATGCAATCCGTTTGAGGATACAAAAATTCTCCTACAATCAGTAAAGATAGAACACCTTGTCCAGAATCCGAAAGTAAATCTGAATCTAGCTGATTTTCTCTAAAAGGCTGAAGAAGCTTGCAATTCTCCAATTCTATAAAGCCGAAGGAAGGTAAAGATTTCTGCAGTTCAGAATAATCCAAAATCAAAAGTTCAAAACAAACTAAAAATAAATAAACAATGATGACAAACATTAAAAAGCTATTGACATAAAGAACCTGTTGCCCAAAGATCTTCAGACCCCACAAAGGTATCTCGTTTTCAGCAAAAATTTGATTTATCTGTAGGCACGTCAAAGATTTACACCATACAACAAATTAAACTAAATCAATCATAAACCTGGCTTACTTGCCTGTTTTTCACACTCATCAGCAATCTCCGATAGCTTTGTTTCATTGCCTTTCTCATTTTTATCATCTTCATCATCTGAGCTGTATCTCTTTAAAGATTTAGACTTTTTATGGGCAATGCTATCAATTTCTCTCTGCTTTGAATAATAATCACCAAGGAGGTCATCCAAATCAGTCACCTTTTTCCTGTCAAAAAAAAGTTATTTACTGCAACGGCAGATTAACTTGAAAATTTTTTTTTACCAATAAAATGAGATAAAACTAGTCAAGTTGCAAAGAGATTATAATTATTAAACTACAACAACATCAGGCTCCATCTTCTAAAGGCCCAGAAGGAAACCATGTGTTGAATTAGTGTGTAATAAAAAATGTGCAAGCAAACTACTTTGCACAAGTAAAAAAACTAACATCCATCCACATTACAGGTGCCCTAGTTCAAAAAGATTATAAAAACATAATGCAGTCAGCTCATGCAAAAAATATGCAAAAATATCCCAAAAATTTTGTTTTCTAAGAATGTCGTTCTTGTTACGCATCTCACAAACACAAACCTTGACTGCTGACATTTCTTATCAATAGAGGATTAGCATCAGAGTAGAAGTTTCAACAAACCATGACAGTGCAAAATAAAACCATTTTTCTCCATCTTAAAATTTCCAAAATTATAATAGCAACAATACTATTCCTATCAATCAGATGAGCAAGTACAGTAATAAGGATAAAATACTCATACTTATAAGAGTTGACCTATAAAAATTCAACCAAAACTCAGAACGTCAGAATCAACCTCATACAAGTTTCTAAGCATTATTTTGAGTCTATGGATGCTCCAGGGCAAATAGGACAATCAAGCCAGAAAATGGCTGAACAAGCCCAACATGATCATCTTTTCTAGGAGAAAGCATAAGGATATGCTATCTAGTAGGAAACGGTAGTTGTTGCCACTGCCCTTCCATCCACCAGGGGGGCTCTCCAACGGCCCCCTCCAGTTCAAACATCGGCCAACAACAAGGAGGCCTCAATGCCCCCTCTAATTCGACCAATTGCATAGTACAGCCTTTGTTTCCATTGGCATACAATAATAGCATGTTTCTTCGTGCACAAGTTATATCGGATGATTAGACACTCTAAATTATTGTGCCTCTTGTGTTACAGTATTTTTCACATTGTTTGTCTATAACCACCATTACGCTAATAATGGCATTCTCAAAGGCTTGGTATCATTGTATTGTGTGGGCTCCAAAAATTCGGCCCCGGCCTCTGCCCACTTGATGATTGCTTTTTTACTTGGCGAGGGAGTTTTAACGGAATAAGTTCCGGGGTAAATTTTGGAAGGCAGATGGGTTTGTAGATAAGACACTACCCAGAGATTTCGCCCTAATTTTGCAATGACTTTATGATCTGAGTTCTGATTTCCTATAGGCGCAAGCCCCTATAGTTAATTACCCCTCTCGATAATGAGAGAGAATTTTTTATTAATGCTAGACGTCAATCAAATACGTGTAGAGTACATGTTATCTGACATATAGTAGCAGCAATGGGCATTCGGAATTTGGAAATTTGAATATTTTGTATTTAAAATAGAAATTTTCACCATCTTGCACTTATAGCGGATGGTGGGGGAATGGATGATGGACCCGATCAAGATCCCATGGTTTTGTCGTCCCGGGCTATCGTGATCCCTGGTCTACTTAGTCAGAGGAGGTAGTCGACCCAACCTGATAGAAGGATCCTTGTCGGCAACCATGGGTTGCTTCGTCCAAAAGAACATTGTAGACATGGGTTGAATGTTTGTCTAAGGGAACAAATTTGAATCCACCTTAGTTAACAGATGGCTTTTTGCCCTATTGATTATATCATATTGATTCATATCTCAAGGATTTGATGTCAATAAGGAACGTATTAGCTTTGGTCCTAACTGGTATTTCGTGGTGCCATTTGACAGCAAAACCACTCAATTCAGAGAGCCCCGGGTCATAATCGTTTATCATGCGGTGTCATTTAGCTGCAAAATCACCGGTTTGAGGACACGTACTACGTCCTTATTGGCAGAAGATTATTTGAGAATGGATCCTAGTGATATTTTTGACTAGGCATTTGGCTCTTTATGAGCTGAAGTAATTTTTAACTTGTCCACCTCGGCAAATTGTTGCGGAGGGAGGATGGATTTTGCTTTAAGCGTTTGATGGTTTGATTTCAATTTTAAATATTTTTAGATTTTGAGAATCATTGGGATTTTGGATTTTATGGGTATTTGTGTGGAGTTTGAAAGGCATTTGAAATGTTTGGAATAGACCCCTCCGGTTGAGATTTGCATTCAACACAGCCATCATCGGGGTGTTTGGAGTCATTTCCATTTGATTGAACCTTGTCAACCCTATCAACTCTCCGATAGAGGATCGGTTTCATAGGCTTTGTGCCATTGTTTGTGAATTTTCTTTGTTAAAGACCTTGAAGGCCTAATATGAATGCATAAAATAAATATTCCGGTCAACTTCGTGACCGCATTTTTATCCGATGACTCGAACCATGTCTACTCCTATTTACCTGCTTAGGAGGATCGGGTTTCGCAGGCTTCGTGCCTTTGTTAATGAATTCTCTTGATTATAGGCCTTGAAGGCCTAATATGAATGTATTAAAACAAATACACTGGTCGCCACAACCGGGTATTCATTTGAAGGTTCGAACCCTGTCAACTCCTATTGATCCGTATAGAAGGATCGGGTTCAAACTTAAATTCACTTATCGACCCGCGCAGCATCCCTAGACGTCACGTGTGTACCAATAACGCGCTAGCCGGGGCCCATGCGGGTTGTGATTGTATTTTTCCCTTTAGTGTACCTATGTGTATACAATTTATAGTGCACGTGCAGGGGTATTTTATTATATTTTGGTTGTGCGGATAATTATAGTTTGAATGCACAACATTTCATTTAAGAGCCTATAAACACCTTCTGTCTGCTAGTACGAGTGTTGCGGATTCGATGACGATATGGTTTTGATGTTATTAGGCATCTCCTCATCTTGATGTTGACTCCCCTTTTCTCATTCATCGGGTAGGGTTCTTCTGGACTTTGAAATCAGTGACTGCGCCTTGAAAAGAGCTCTTTTCAGGGTCTTTAGTAAAGTGGACTTGTTATTTCTGATATTTGTAGATATCAGAATTTTTTTCTTCCCGAGTACAGACTCAAGAAAAAATTTTGGAACACCAGGAAGTTTAGTTCGAATTTGCTCAAACATCTCTTCCATTCTGCCAGGAGATGTCTTTTTTTGTATGCTGAATTATCTTCAAACCCGACATATTTTGCAGCATCTCAATCACCGTTGTTGAGGGCGACATCTACACTTGTGTCCACAATGGTTCGTTGTACCTACGGTATATCCACTGTTGTTATCCACTGGTATTTTGCAGCATCTCAATCACCCATGCACGCCTTTCTTTTTTTGTGTCCACAATGGTTCATTTGCATTGCAGGGAGACCTCCTGGAAGTGTTTGCAGAAGACCCATTATTCATACATCATATCCACCTTTCACCAATCTCAGGTGGGTTGAATGATTGCACTTGATTGTAGAGACGGGCCTTCCACCATCGATTGGCAGTGTTGTCATCTTCAATCAGCAGGCACTGTAGCTAGTGTTGGAGGTTTCAATAATGCACTTAGGGGGCATCGTACGTTTTGCAACCATTTGTTGTTCTTGCAAGTGTGGCGCATTTAACCTCGTAGGGACTTGTATGTGCTTCAAATGTATTGCATTGTGTATGATGAATGTTGGAGAAACTCCACTCATTTCTAATTCCTTCATACATTTTGACCACATTACTTGTAAGTAGGACCATTGTATGCATTGCAGGGCTCTTGACATCATCTCTTTAACTTATAGATCACTTGTTATACTTTTGCCAACCCTATTGATCATTACTTGAGGGTGCACCGCTTCTAATGTTGTAAATGAGCCATTATGATCCACTAGCTTCCTCCTAAAACTATGATTTTGATATAAAAGCATATCCTTCATGCTCTTCTTGCTGCTTGTAATCAAATTATACTTGCAAGTTCATTTGTATTCTCAAGTTGATTTTGATTTCTGGTTACATTTTGATTTTTATTTCATTTGGTTTTGACTTGATTAATCGTTTAGATTTTGATCAAATGTAAGTCCACTTGTTCATTGGAGTCCAAGTTCTTGTTCTTTTGAGTTCAAACAGGTCCGAGTACAGTATGTTTTCACCTAAAATTTCGGCAATCTCCCGACGACTCCCCCGTTTAGGGGAAAACTATGAAAAACTGGGTCTTTCCCACCATGCGCAATAAAGGTGTGCATGGTAGGTGCCCTCTTTCGAGAACATCGTGGCCGTGTAAAATCTTTGTCCCCACCACGCTAAGAAAGGCGTGCATGGGTCTTCGGTACCTGTTGCAAGAAAAAAGCAGTTGTTTCCCCGCAGGTACAGAGCCGCGTACGGGTACTTAAGAGTTATCCCGGCCACGCTAAGAAAAGCGTGCACCGAGTTTACCTGGCCTAGTCATATGCGTCGCATATTAATTTATAATTAAAAATAAATAATAATAATAACAATAATAAAAATAATAATAATATAAAATAAAATAAAAAAACTTCCCTCTCCCTCCTCTCTGTTCGGCGGATCGACAGGATTAGGCCGAAGCAGCGTGCGGCAAGGGAGAAAGTTACCCTTCACAGACGGTGAGCTTCCGTGTTGCTTCCAATCAAACCAGAAAGGAAAGCCGTGGAGGGTGCGAGGTCGACCAGCAACGACTGGGTCGAAGCAGCCGGGAGCTTCACGGGATTTGGCCAGAGTAGCGCACAGAAGGTAGAGAGTTACCTTCCGCACCAGCAAGCTCCCAGTCATTGCTTCCGATCTAAATGTCTCAACTTCCGATCCGACCGTGAAGGGAACGTCGTTGAGGGAGCCGGTAAAGCGCACGAAAGGGAGAACGTTTCCTTCAAAGCGAGCGAGCTCCCGCATTCTTGCTTCCGATCAAAGTGTCGTAACTTCCGCTCCGATTGGAAAGGGAAGTCGTCGGAGAAGCGAAGTCGCGCAGCCACGAGAGGAGGGAGAAGCGGCGGAAGGGAGTTTCCCTCACAGCAGCGAGTCCCGTTGTAACTTCCGATCGACTCGGAGAGAACGTCGTCGAGTGAGAGAGAGCGGAGAGCGAGAGAGCAGTC